CTGATTCCTCTTTGTGTTATATTTGTCACTTTTGAAATCACAACAAATAATGAGGTTGAATAAATTGAAAAATGATAATTTTTTCATAATGTTATTCTCCACTTCGCCTTTTTTTAATTAAGCCAATATTTTCACCCACACTGCATAAAAACAATTACTGAACAAATTAGTCTTTGGTTTTATTTGTTTGTATCATTAGTTTTTTAATTTTTCTTATTTGTATTCTAAGTCTTTGGATCTTCTGAGTCTTCTTTTTAAGATATCAATTACTAAAAGCAATTGATGGTGAGGGGGATAATAAGCATTAGCTGAATCTTCAAAAGAAAACTTGTATTAATAAGAGAATTTTTTATTACTGAGATTGTAATATATCTCTTTGTCAATTTGTAAGTAATGATAAATTATTTCTTGCACCTGGTAATATTATTGGAAAGTAGAAATATAGCGTACTTAATAACACATATATAATGTATATTTTATCATATACATGATTGGCATATCGCAAATTGGCAGGTAATAACATGATAATCAACAAAATATCCACTGAAATAAGAGTAATTAGCTAATAGTAATAAGAATATATCAATATTATATTTGTTATTAAGTTTGAAATATGAGTTGTAGATTACATAGAGCATATTACATGTATTTATCAACACATTAAGATATATCAGTTTGTGTACTGGAAGATTTTATTTGTATGAGTACAGTCAAATCTTTTTATAATCTTTTTATAGTCATCGCTCTTGGAAAAGTAAAATTTGGTGACTACAGAGAGATTTTTTTTATTATATTTATATGTAAATTGAAAAGCAAAATATGATAACTATAGAGAGATTTGACTATACACAAAAATGCTCTTATTAATTTGACTCTTTCAACTCCAAATACATAAATAGTCTCATTTTTTTATTATTAGAATCAGACATCTTATTACAACATATTATTTTTCTGGAATATACTTATCACTTTTTCATTTTTTATTGGTATTAAATTATAAAAATGTAATTTCTTTATTTTTAAGATTATGTTAAATAAGAAAAATTGCAAATATCTATATATTTCAAATAATTATTCAAAATATGTATACTGAAATAAATAGATATTTTTATTTATAGCTTAAATATAATTATAAATTATTCTTGTATTTATTTATTTTAATAATTATTAAGACTTTTTAAAGTATTTTTTAACTTAATTTGTTATAAATTTTATTTTGTTTTAGTATTATACTATTTTATTACAGTCAAACTTCTCTATAATCACCACTCTCAGAAAAGCAAAATTTGATGACTATAAAAGAAATGTAATTATGAAGATTTTTTTTACTATGTTTATATATATATATAAGAAAATAAACTAAAATGATTATAGAGAGGTATTATTATAAATAGGCATAACTATAGAGAAATTTAACTATATTTGTTTATAAGAGCATTTTGTAAATTAGTATATTTATAACAAATTTATTTGATATTTTTTTATTTGATTAATTAGTTATTCTAGTATTATTTAAATAATTATTAATAACATCTGCTAATTTGAAATTATAATCATATCTAAATAATACTTTTTTTTTATATTTAAAAAAATAATATATTATTAATATATAGTAGCAATCAAAAAGAATGGAATGCTAAAACAAATTTATTAATAAAATATAGTAAAAATACAAAAAATATAAGTTTTTCTCTTTATATAAAAATTTTCAATTTTACTAATAAATATTTTTGATTTTTATATTAAAATAAAGATAATATTACATATTTTAATATATATTTTTTCAGATTTAATCTGATGAAGCTGTTCTAATTGCATATAAAGTCAATTATTTTTTTATATGTTTTTATTATTAAAAAATAATTAACTTTATATGCAATTAGAATAACTTCATTGGATTAAATCTAAAAAATCTAAAAAAAATATATATTAAAATATGTGATATTATCTTTATTTTAATATAAAAATAAAAAATATTTATTAGTAAGATTGAAAACTTTTATATAAAGAGAAAAACTTACATTTTTCATATTTTTACTATGTTTTATTAATAAATTTGTTTTAGCATTCCATTCTTTTTGATTGCTACTGTATATTAGATATTTAACAAGTTATGAAAAACAACTAGCCAGCAACACCAAAAATAATAATAAGAATAGCAGAAAAAAAATCGAAAAAATAAAGCAAGCAGCAAATAAAAAATATTAAAAGTCACAAGCTGAAGATATGATTGAAGATGATAATAATAATGAGAAAGATAATGATTATAACAATTTTGTAAGTTTCTTTAATATTCTTTACAATTTGTTTCTTTGAAGTCTTGTAAAAAAATTAATTTTTTATTTAATAGATCATCAATTTGAATTATGAATATATATAATATAGTTTTTTAAATTTGTATTTTATTATTATATATATATACTTTACAATAAAATAAATATTTTTTACTATTGTTTAACCTATAAATCTACTGTTACTTGAAATTAACATTGTGAAATTTTGTGCAGAATTTTAAAAATCTATATAAATCTACATTTTATTACAGATTTGCACAGATTTTTTAAAAAATTTTTCTTTATTAATCATCATCAGGTTTGAAGCTTTGTACAGATCTTTGAATTCAAAAATTTGTACAAAATTGCATTCTCAAAAATTTTCTGATATATATAATAAATCAATGATAAATTTATTTAATAATAAAATTATATCTTATTATTATTAAATTATAATTTTATAATGAAATCACATATTTATTACATAGTATTCTTTAATTAAACATTATGATTAAAAATTCCAGATCATATTCTAGCTGATCATGTCATAAACATACTATTATTTCTCTTTAAATTTATTATAATTATAATTTAATGCTTGATGCATTATATAAATTTGATTATATTATACTTTTCATCTATAATCCTTATTATAATTACCTTGATCAAGTAACATTATTAAGCACTTTCCAGCTCTTTCAGGAATTCATAAAATACAATAACAATATGTAAGAGAAGCACCAAGTATCAGATGAATTTTATTTATTAATACTTTACCCATTTCCCTTTCACCTGATCAAGATGAGTTATAATATATCATAATTTTGTAAAACCTGATGATTGATAGCAATCCCAAATAATTACCTGATATTTGGCGCTCTCCTAAATGAAAAACGAAATAGGGTGACTATAGAGGGATGTGACTATAAACGGGTGTGACTATAGAGGGGTTTAACTGTATTATAATTATATTGTTCACGTGAATTCATATTATTATTATTAATTTGTGTCGCTTCATCATCACCATAATTCATTATCGTTTTTTTCCAATTCATCTTAGAAAAATAAAATAGAAACTGTCCATGATTATCGTATCGTTCACAAAGTGTTTGAGATTTTTTCCTACTTTTTTCAATTTAATTAATTTTAGATACATTAATAATAACTTAAACTTGAATCATTTTTAACTATCATTATTTTGCTATATTTCATCAGCATTACTACGATTACCATGCCCTTTTTTAGAACCTAAATTTTTGTTAGGTCGCGTTTTATTGAACTCTTGATCAATTTCAGCGTTACTCGTGCATGATTGTGCCTTTAAAAATACATCATAATTAGACGGTCGATGTTGCTTTAAAAGTTTGGCGTATTCATTCGGTATTTTGTGTCTTGTGTAGGTTAGGTCTTCGTTATTGATATTATTGGCCTTACTATCCTCACAGTATAATGTTTCCTGCTTTTTTAAGATATCTTGTATTGAAATACTAAGACCATGAGGAATTTCTGATGGGTGTGATGATGTCTTGCAGTTCATTTCTACTTCTTTACGAAGTACGTGATCAATATCGACAGTTGAGAAAAACGCAATTGACTTTTTTGAAGGAGAGAATTAAATATTAAAATAGAATTTCATACGTCATTCTTGCTTCAAATATGTATAGATAATATAAATATATACTATTTACCAAAGGCAAATCCTCAATTCCAAGCATATAACTGAAAATGGCTCTAGTCCATAAATTACTAATTTGTAATGCTAGTGCAGCTCGATAGCTATCCTCCTCTTTAACAAGAAACCGCACTTCATCGTGCACAGAGAGCATGAATCTTGTCCAAATGCCATATTTTTCAGTCAAATATTTCATCGAGACAAGCAGCAAATGAAGATAATCAACGCCAGAAGATTGCACGATCCAATTAACCCTAGAAGTCATATAGTTACGATTAACAAATTTTGAGTTCAGTGCGTCTGTTATGCCACACTTCAACACAGGGGTTTTTGCCTCGTCACTAGTGGCGATACTTTCCAAGCTGTTAAACATGTAACTTTCACTGCCACCATACCAGAAAGTTTTGGCATCTTTTCTAACATAGTATTTTTCACCTTTTGTTTGTCTATATAAATTCTCTGCACGATTTTGGGCTTCTGCCTCTTCGATATTCTCGTTGGAATGTCGAAGCATTTGAATCGCGAATTTCAATCCAGCACCATAAATTCGGCTATAATTAAAAACTTTGGCATTGTCTCTGGAAATCCCTAAAATTGACGCGGTTTTAGAATGTAAATCTGTACCAGCTGCCTTTGTGCCCTGGAGTGTCATCCATCCTAAGGCTGTTGATCCATGAGCTCCGAATTGTGCATCACCAATTAAACTGGAAATCCACAACTCTTCTGAATCTACATCTGCGCCTATAATTTTATAGCCTTTAGGTGATTGAACCATTGCTTTCAATTCAGATCCAATTCGATTTTCCTTTGCGTTGCTTGCAGTTAACCATGTTTTTTCTACGGCACGGCGAGTTACAGTGCCCATAGTTAGAGTCTGTGGTAAAATCATTCCCGGAAGTTTCTCATCATTCATTTCAAATCCAATATTCTTGATGTCGGGATGACCTTGATACACCACCATTTGAGATTGTATACGATCTCTTGCACTTATCCAGTATGAACATGCAGCATTCATGCTGAGTGCATCACGAGCCTCTGGGTACTCAGAATTCAGAATTCCATTCTCAAAAGCCGATACATAATTTTTTGCTAAAGGAGTCACAACTCTGGCTGCTTCTCCATCTTTATGCGGTATTTTGTAATACCGTGCTTCTTTATCTTTGGCAAAGCGTTCTTCGTAATCTGGTGCTTCGAGATCTTGCTCAAATTCACATTGTTTAGCTTTAATTTGATACTGAGTATCCTCTTTAGGCACCCGATACATCCATCCATGTTTTTGGGAAAAGTATAACGGATAATTTAACCATTTCAGCTTTAGCAACAGTGGCGCTATACGAGTTCTAGCCGTTATTTTGATCTTTGCAGTTGTTGCATTATAGATTTCACGAAACCAATTTGGCTTATCGGGAAGTTTCCTACTTTGCAAGGATGGGAACGACCAATCTAATTGTTGAAGCCAAGGATCCTTCATTGCTTCCTCTGGCTTTAATTTCACGGCGGCTAATGCCAATTGGCGTAAATTATTCTCGATCAAGTTGGTTTGTTCTTGGAAAACACTTGCTGAGTTTTTCAGGTAGTGATCCCAATCACTACTTACCGGCAAAAACATACTTCCCATATGAACCATTCCAGCAAATGATACTGGATGTGGACACACGTGCAAAAATCGCGGTAACACTTTTTTAAATACCCTGTGTGTGGCAAGTACATCAGTCGCACAATAGTTCATTAGTGTAGAAAAATTTTTTGGATCACTAATCTCTTCCATAGTCCCATTGACAAACATATCTCGTGTCGTCTTATCCAAAATCTCGGAACAATGAAATTTGTAGACATCTCGTAAATTATTCAAAGAACTTACGTCGTAGATTGCTTGAAAATCTTGGGCTTGTTCTAGATAAATGCTATCTTGAATTTCTGATGCTTTGTCGTATTTTATCCAGGAGGGGCGCTGTTGTGAACAGAGACCACTAACAGCGACATGTAGCGCCATTGTATCCAAGAAATATGTATTTGAAGGATCAAGACGATATTCTCCTTTAATACGTGCTCGATCAAAACCGACATTATGACCAACTATTATTCGAGCTTTTTTAATATTACCGATAGGAATCAAGCGCCCTTTATTGTTATTACTTGCAGAGTCAACATTTCGATTCATGGGCTTTTTTTTATTATTTGCGTATTCAATTAACTGAGGCGATACCCATGCATACCAAGCATTCGGTGAAGCTGCAACAGCCATCAACGCAAACGGACTATCCTTCAAAAATGTCTCCACATCAAAACACAAAAGTTCTTCGTTCGGATAGTCTACACTTTCCGGCTCTTTACCATTCCCCGTATATCGTGTCCAACCAGCCTTACGCTCCCACTTTGTTGGTATTTCTGGCAACAAAACATCCGCAAACTGAATCGCCAGCTCACGAACAGGTCTCGCTTGTTCCTCGCCAATCCGTAAAAAATGTTCGGCGATTGTACTCCCACACAAATTGGGCAATTTGAATTCTTGTAGTGCAGTTAGCGGGTCAGATTTCTTGTCGGCTAGACCTTGTTTGTTTAGGTGATCTTTGGCTAGTCGTAGATGTTCTTTAGATACTTTGGGGCGGGTTGTGCGTTGAAAGATTTGGCTGTATAGCCAGTCTGGGAGCATTTCTACGCCGAATTCGTTAATTGTTCCTAGATATTAAAATTATGAAAAAAAATGTTTAATATTGAAAAATGCGTGTGACTCACAAAATTAGAGGATAATCTTAAAGCGCTGACCAGGCAAGAATTTTTGCTGCATAGTTTACCTTGAGGAACCCTTCAAGAAGCAACAATAACGAGCTAAAAATAAGCTTAAAATACACACACAAACATGCTCATCCGAGTTACTTGGTCAGCGCTTTGTCGATATACCTAAGGACTCCTACTGTATAACATTATTTATTTTTATCTAAAACCACACCTACTCGGTTTGACGATTTGTGCTATACTTTTATTACCGAGGCTGTTAGTGTTTTTTGTTTTAAGTTCTGCAGAAGACACTTGACTTAATACTGATGCTGTTGAAACCACGTTTGATTGCCACCGTAGTTGTTGGCAATGACGAATTTTGTTGATTTGCAAACTACAAAAACAATTAGACTTTTGTAAAACCCCAACATCAAACAGTAAGGGTTTTAATGTACAACTACGTGTTATTATTGTTAACATGTGTAGTAAATAATGTAGTAGAAAATGTATTAAAAAAAAGCAAACAACGCGTATAAATAAAATGATTGAGGCGCGTTATAAATTAAATATTTTGATTGGTCCAATTGATTCCTAAACTAAATTTTACGAGTCTTTTTTTGCATATCGATATATAAACATTTTGCCCAAAAAACAATGTGTGCAAAACATGTGCTAAGATTTTGAAAGCAAAGGCTCTATGAATAAGTATGGCAAGAGTAATACTAAAAATTGCAGCAATGATGGTGAATTCTTTTGAGTACGTTCAGTTTTAAAGATTATAATTTATAGATGATGTATCTACGTTAAAGATGGTCTCCTAAATTGTTATTTTAAAAAACGTAATATTGATTAAAAACTATCTATAAATGGTTATCTTAGTTTAAAGAATTCAAATAATTTTGGAAAACAATATGCAATCAACCTCCCTTATAAGCACATCAACGTTTGAAACCATTTATTAATAAACTTCTAAAATACCTCTATAAGCACGGCCTCTTTATAAGCACATTTTTTTTAAAAAAAGCACTAGGCAACCGAGGTTAACTACTAATAAAATAAATAAGTAATAGATTGATGACATCGAGGCTGACATTAAATATCTGATAAATTAAAAAATACGTCATCGTGAAATATACTTTGATCATTATTACAGTGTTATGCTATAAAAAGAAGTTAAATCATAGTCACATTTACTTTTTACCTTTACTAAAATGGATTTGTCAATCTGCTTGTTCACTATTCGCGAATCAGAGTTACAAAATCGAATATTATAAAAATAAGGAAACTAAAAATATTGTTAAAGCAATTCGAAATTGGATTACACAATTGGAAACATTTTGCAAGTCATAGAGCTATGATACTCCAATTGAAATGATAACTAATACTTGAGTTTTTCAAAGATAAATTGTTGAATTTATAGCATTTTCAAAACAACAGATAAGGCTTATTTGCTGACCATCACCTTAGTGAATATAAATTTTCTGATATCTATAATAGTTTATACAGAAAATGAGATTTACAAGAAAAAGAGCTTGGTGAAATTCAAGATGCTTACAATAAAAAAAATATTTATTTAGTTTTTCAAATTTGATAATTTTAAACCCAACTATCAATATTTAAAATTATTGATCTTTTGTAATACCAGGCAATGCTTTTATATTTTAAGATTCGGAAATAGAACATTAAAAGATTAAAGAAATAAAATTTTTTTATTACATTGACATAATATACAATAAATTATCGATTATTATAAAATACTAATTTCAACCAAACAATTTTAATACTTTAAAATTGTTCTTTTTAGAAATCTGCATCAAGTGTAAATGCATTCTCGGTATTTTGCGATGTGGAGTTGTTCATGACACCAGCTTTCTGGTATTCTGATACTTTTTTTTCGAAGAAATTAGTTTTACCTTGAAGTGAAATTAAATCCATAAAATCAAAAGGATTTTCTACTCGATAATATTTAGGACAACCAAGGGCAACCAGTAAACGATCGGCGACAAATTCGATGTAACGATTCATAAGGGCCGAATTCATTCCGATTAAGGCAACTGGTAATGCTTCTGTGAGGAATTCTTGTTCAATTGAGACAGCTTCAGTGATAATTGATTCAATGATTTTTCGGCTTGGACGTTTACGTAGATGTGTGAACAAAAGGCAAGCGAAATCACAATGCAATCCTTCGTCTCGTGATATGAGTTCATTTGAGAATGTAAGACCAGCCATCAACCCCCTTTTCTTAAGCCAAAATATGGAAGCAAAAGCACCAGAAAAGAAAATTCCTTCAACGGCCGCAAATGCAATTAATCTTTCTGCGAACGATGATTTTTGATCAGAAATCCAATGGAGGGCCCATTTGGCTTTCTTTCGAATACATGGAACTATAAAAATAAATCGATAACATTAGTCTAAGTAGTAATCAATAATACATGTGTATATGTCAATAAATTACTTGTCTCTATCGCGTCAAATAGATAGTCTCTTTGTGATGGTTCCTTGATATAGGTGTCGATCAAAAGGGAATACATCTCGGAATGTATATTTTCGATCATGATTTGAAAGCCATAAAAGCAGCGAGCTTCAGGAATTTGAACTTCATTACTGAAACGTTCGACCAAATTTTCATTAACTATCCCATCGGAGGCAGCAAAGAACGCCAGAACATGCGAAATAAAATGTCGTTCGTCATCGTTTAGTTTATTATCCCAATCATGTTGATCCTTGGATAAATCGACCTCTTCAACTGTCCAGAAAGAAGCTTCAGCTTTTTTATAGAATTGCCAGATCTATTATGCATTTTTAAACAAAAAACGGGTCCCTTAATAAAATGATCATCTTCTATATTTAACAAATTAAAAAGCAACTCAAGTGTTATTCTCACTTGATTTACCTCATGAAATTTTATAGGGAATAAAACAAAACGTCTTGGATTTGGTTTTAATAATGGCTCTTCTTCAATGACGTTGGGAATGGGAAGATTGAGATTCTGAGATGCTGGCATGTTTAAAAGTGATGTGGTTTCTAAATAAAAACATACTGCCTCGACGCCGTATTTATGCTTCTAAAAAACTATCATTATGTTTTGTAAATAAAATTGATCGCGTTATGCAACGCGTTGTCAATCACAAAAACACCTCGAGCGTTGTTTTCTCTTAAATCACGCGTTCTTTTCTAATCACGCGTTAGACCGGATGATCCGATCGAGAATTTCGAATTTTAATTAGCTTGATGTATTTGTTATACCTTACACATTACACATCCTTACACACATATCATAACGATAACACGATAATGATAATGAATTGCCTAATTTCCTTAATATAAGACTCGATTTCTTCGAAAAAATCTAATGGGGAGTCTTTATAATAATAAGGAGGGAAGGATTACGATCAAGAAAACTGTAAAAAAGCCAACTTCAAAACTTGAACAACCTGAACTGTTTGACGATGACTTTGATTTCTCAAATCTTTCAGAAGGAAGGTTTGGTTTGACATTGCAACAAAATTCTCTATCTCCATTTACTGAAACGGATTTTGAAGATGTTAGCTCGTTGACCTCAAAACTTTCAGAGAGAAACCTTATTAAATCAAAGTCCCAAAAATTGCCTTCGTCTTCGTCGACCAGCTCTAAAACTTTCGAGTCAGAAGACGATACTTTCAAGCAAGTCCACTTTCCAGAATCAATGGATTCTCTTACTATAGCGAGTCCTCAATCTACTCATTTATCTTCAATTAACGAAAATAATTCCAGTCAGGAAGACTTTTGGTCCGACTTGGTCATAGAAGATGATCATGTTTTTTCCTTGCAACATGTTCAAAATAAAAATATTGTTTCAGGCACAAAATCAGATCCATCAAATATGTCTCAGATTGATCCCACTTACTTTGATAAAGATTCAACCGATAATAGGAAGTTTTCACATAACACTCCTATACCTACTACTGCTGCCGCGTCGAAGGATTTTAGAATCAAACCTCATCACCGTCATAGTCATTCCTCGTCTTCAACTTCATCGAATTCTATAAATTCCAACAAAAATTTAAAAACGAATTCGGATATAAAAGCTATTCAAAAAAAGCCTTTGTCGAATCTTACAACAAAAAATACAACTGCTAATATCAATAATAAGAATAATATAACATCAAAAAAAATTGTGAATACAACGAACAAAATAAATTACACGAATTCATCAAAGAATATTGCTGAGAATAACCAATCCAATGCAAAACCAGATAATGATGATAATCAGAATGCTATTAGAAGGGTAAACAATATTTCATTTGGCATTTAGATTTACTCTCTGAATAAATAATTTTGCTAATATTACAAAATTTTAGAAATGGAGAAGGAAGCCAACTTTGATTCGTAATCTAAACTCCACCAAACGATCTAAAGGTGAAAATAAATAAATAAATAATAATGAGAATAATAATCAGGATGATAATGAAATTTTTATCATTTAGTTGTTGGAGAAATGGTATATAATCCTGATTTACAACGATGGGATGGTAACGAATCGATTCTTAAAGAATTCGAAGCTTATTTGACACCTCGTAATAACTCAACGTTAAATACAAAAAATGTTAAAATCATTGATAATATGATCTTCGATCCTAAAAGATTGTGTTGGTGCAGTAGCCAAACGAATCTCGAGGAAGATGCATTCGAAAATTTTGAAAATAGTGATAGTGACGATGATTACGACAAGCGTAAGAAAAAGGAAGGTGAAGCTAGTAATACAAGTAATAATAACGATAGTAATAATATTAGTGATAATAGTAAGCTTAACGGTTATAATATTTGTAATAATCACAAAGATGATGCTGATTTAGTAATGTCTGGAAAAAATAGCAATGACTTTACAGTCGGAAATGAATTTGACGTAACACCTGGATTTTTAGCAGCATTAATTGCATCAGAACGACAGCATGGAAATGAGATGTCTAGGTGGTATCCAGCTGCAAGTTCTTTAAGAAATGAACAACGATTTGGTCTACGGAATCCAAATATCCAAAGAGGATTTTTATATGAAATCAGAACGGTAAAAAAAAAAGTTTTTTTTGGGTTATTTTATTGATTAATTAATAATTACTTATTTTTTATGCTTAGGTGATTATGAATAAAAAAACTGGTCGATTTAGTTCTCGACGAGATCGATTTGTCAAATAGCAATCTTGTATATTTAAAATAGCTTTTGTAATTGTAATTATATATTAGTAATTCAACATATCCCTTTATGCAAGTACCTCCCCCTCCCCTCCCCCCCCCCTCCCCCTAATAGTTTTTCTTACTAATCGTAATTAACTGTGTGTGGAATGTAAAGTACTATAAACCGTAAAGCATTCTCTGCACATTCTTACTAAAAATTGATTGGTAATCCGCGATATCTTTTATCTATGAAATACAGACCCAATATTTCGTTCGATTTTTAAATTTGAACAACCGGGTAGGTACAAATAATTTCCGAGTTAAGCAGATCTATTTTATGAACAATATCGGAATAATTAGATATTGTTATTAACATTATCATTATAATTTTATTTTCATTGATAGATTTTATGTCAAAAACGCCTTTGGTTTCAGAATACACCATTTCGCATTTCTAATATTATAATTTATTTTATCTTTCTTGTATCATATTTTCTTTATTTTTTCAAAAGCATTAAAACTTCGAGTCCTTTATTTTTTTATATCATTATTTTAACTTAATAGTTTTCCTAATTCGATAAATAAAATTCAACATGGCTTCTTCTACACATTCGATGGCTATGAGTGATTTGGGAGATCCACTTAAACCATACATTCCTCCAAACGAGACTCCCGAAGAAAAGAAAAGGCGCATACAAAGAGAAAAGGAAGCGAAAAAACATAGTGAGGCGATAGATAGACAGCTCAAGGCTGAAAAGGAAGAGATGGATAGAACTAAAAGTGCAAAGTTGTTGTTATTAGGTTAGTTCTAAATAGGTTATTATAACAATTATTGATATCATTTTTGTACTTTTATTGTATTAGTTATACATTTAAAATAAACCAAAAAATATAATGTAGGATCATCTGAGAGTGGCAAAACTACTGTATTAAAACAATTAAAAATCATTCATGGTAATGGCCTTGAAGAAGAACGGAGACAATATTCTCGTATAGTACATTTAAATGTACTCACTGCCATGAAGGCATTGACAAACGCTCTCGAACATTTTGGACATTCTTTGGCCGATCCAAAAAATGAAGAACATCTTGAAAAATTTCAAATGTTAACTACCATCAAAGTTACTTTAAATCGCAATTCATTAACTGTTCAGGCAGCGATTCGAGATAAAAAGTCTGACGATGATACTGCGTCAGAGACTTTTCGAGAGCATTCAGAATCTATTCAAGCATTATGGTCTGATGCCGCAATACGGAAGTGTTTTGAAAATGCTAGTGATATCGGTCTTCAGGATTCAGCAAAATAGTAACTAATAATTCAATTCTCTCTTTATTCTCCATACTCTGCTAATTATTTATCTATCTTTCTTTGTATTACTAGTTTTCTGGATCATGTAGAGCGATTTGCTCAACCAGACTATGTGCCGACAGATGATGATATTCTTCAAGCTCGAGTGAGAACTATTGGTGTGACAGAACATGAGTTCAGAATCAAAGGGGTGAAGTGGAGGTGCAATTTCTTTACAATTATTGCTTTTAATAATTTCCAGTCAGTTTGCTGATGTTCACAATTCTCTTAATTATGCTAATAGAGTGATCCTGAAATTTTCAGAATATTTGACGTAGGTGGTCATCGGTCTCAACGTCAATATTGGGCGTATGTATTATTAACATCTTTATTACTATTATTTTTATGGCATTATTTCTAAAATCTACTCTTTTTATTTAGACCATATTTCGATGATGTGGATGCTATAATTTTTATGGCTGCTGTATCAGCATTTGATCAAACTCTTGAGGAAGATGAGAAGGTTAATCGTATGCGTGACTCACTTCAACTATTCGACACTATATGCAATCATCCTTTATTTGTAAACACCAGCGTTATATTGTTCTTGAATAAGATTGATATATTAAAGAAGAAAATTCAAAAAGTCAAAGTGAAAGAATTTTTCGAACAATATAAAGGTAATTAATTAATATACTGATTTGTATATATTAAAAATAATTAATTGTCCAAAATTCTCTGCTAATAATATTGATAATTTCTTATAAACCATAGGTGCCAATGATTTCCAATCTGTCACAAAATTTTTCCAACGTCAATTTTTAGCGAAAAATTCCAATCCTGAAAAACATATATACGTACATTTCACACACGCAACAGTAAGCTTATTGTTTATCTATCTTTATTTTTAATCAATTAACGCTATGATTTTTGCTAATAATTTATTTCCTATTATATCAAAGGATACAAAACAAATGCGTGTTATTGTAGCTTCGGTTAATGATATTGTGCAACGAATGAATCTTAGAGCTTCTGGTTTAATCTAATAATTTAATAATTTGACCTTTTTGCTGTCAATTTTTATTAATTAGTATCTTTTTTAAATATCTAGAAATATTTAGTTACATCTCTTTATAGTCACCCAAGTTGACTTTTCAAGAAAGGTGACTTTCAATACTAATTATTTATTTATTTATTTATTTATTTTATTATATTATTTATTCATGTTTTTATCTTTATATTTTAAATTGTATATCTTCAGTAATTTGATTCACCACGGAAACTTCTATTGTTTTTAGGGAATATTGTTTTTTAATATTTGTATTTTCTATCATGTGTATTGATTGGTACTACTATGTTATCGAATGATAATTTATGTCCGTTTTCACGTGACACCAGCCTTTGATCCTGCGCTACTGAGATGAAGGTAACCAGTCTAACTGGTGTTAAATTTTTTTATAATTCTTACGTAATGTTAAAAGCCGCATCTTATTCTAAAGTGTCAGATCAACAGATCTTTAATGTATAAATGCATTGTGGATTTTAAATCATTCTTCACACAAAGAACAGATCTAAAATGAATTTGTTTACCTGGCTTGAAAACATGTTTGTGAAATATTTGACAAAGAATAATGATTATTATAAATCTAATTTGTTTTTATTTAAGATATTTTAATTGGTTCTTTATTATAAATTAGATTTATGTCATAATATATGCTTAGTATAAATTATTTTATTAAGAATTAGTATGTGTACTTCAGGAAAATTTTGATAATTATTTATTTTAATTTTATTAGTTTTTTGTTAAAGTTATATTTAACTTTATTATTTTATTATTTGATATTTAAATTATAAGTTTTGATAGTTCAGTAATTTGATCTTTCATGTAAACATAATCATTATTGTCATTTTGAAATACTTTTATATATAAAAGCTCAAAATGATAAAAAATTAAATTTATATTATAAAAATATTCATCACATTGTTGGATCCAATAATAATTTTTTCATAAATATAATTATAATAGAATTTTTTTTGCAAAATAAATAAATTAAAATTCACAATGCTAAGTTAATACAATCAAATCCCTTTATAGTCACCATCTTTAAAAAAGCAAAATTTGGTGATTATAGAGAAAATATGACTATAGAAAGATATTTTTACTATGTTATATATAAATAGAAAAGCAAAATAAAATGACTATAAAGAGATGTAACTATAAATGGGCATAACTATAAAAAGGTTTGATTGTAGTTGTGTGATTAAATTAAGATTTAAATTTTTTACAAAGAAGAAAAAGATGTTTTATATAGCAAATTACAATAGCTAATTCTTGAAAAAGTATGGAAAACACAAGTAATTATGATAAGAATTAGCCAAGAGAAATATTAGAAAATAAGAGAGTTAAAAGTTAGATATTGAGATTTGTAATTATAAACACTTGAATATTCTTAATCTTGGATGAGAAACATGAGAGAAATGGTTTTGCAATAAGCATGAGAAGAAGCATGTGCTTTGTTTAGAGTTCTGTTTACCAGCAAGCAGGAATATAATAAATTGCGAAGTGATTAATTTTATATAATATGATTATAATAACAGTAATAACTATAAAAAAGATTCAAATATATTGTTTTAAACCCACCTTGTGAGCCAGCTTACAAGTTCAAGCAAGTTAATAAATATAGAACGTGATTTATAAAAATTTTAATATAAAAAAAGTTTACAATATCATTTTTTTATATTATTATTAAGACAAATATAATTTAAATTAGTTATAAATTTTGGTTTCTTAACGTTAATATATATTTAAAATAAATGTGACAGATTAAAATGAAATTTGATTTTTTTGGTGAAATTATGAAAAAAGAGTAAAATATGGATTGATTATTTATATATATCCCACTAGAGTTCATTTTGGTCTGTCACAATTATTATCTAAAAAAAACTTTTTTCTAAGAAATTGGTAACAAATATAATTATACACGATAATTTGTAATGAAGTTTTGTTCCAGATATATTTAAATCAGTAAATTCGATACAATGAATGGCTTATTCTTGAATAAGAGATGTTTTCCGGGTCGCTGGTCTTTAGAAATCAATTTTTATTATATACATTTTGATGAACAACTTTTTTCGGGGGAAGGGATTTATCTATCTATCTTTATTTTATATTGGTAAATATTTTCTATAATTGGAATTACTTTATTTGCTAAATCCTCATCTTTATAATCCCAAGATATCTTCAAGTCAATTTCTAAATTAACAAACTTTTTTTCGATTTGTGATAGAGACGATGAAGCAGCAGCCGTAGCAACAGAAGAGAATAAACATATCGAAAGGGATCTAATCTGAATCTTTGATATATTTTCATTGTCGATTTTTATTAGACTACGATCGAATGATTTTGCTAATGTTTCGAACAGATCCACCATTATTTTCTCTCGTCGTAGATCTTTTCCATTCAGATTGAATTTTTTGATAATCTCAAAGGATAAGTTGTGATTCTTTAATTTCGCATTATTGTTATCATCAAGAGTAATTTTTTCTTTTGGATCAATTAGTCGCAATCTGTGATTTGGTTGCATCACCAACAATCCCTGAATTGGGATTGATTGTATCGGTTTCAAATTTTCGATGTTCAATCCTTTAATATAGTTTCTATTAAAGTCTATGAATTTTTTTGAATTGAATATTGTAGATGATGACATCGTCGACAACATAATTCTTTTTTGCATTGCCATATTTTGTTGTTGTTTCAATAAACTCACCGATACATCCACTGGGATATCGAGACTTGTTTCAACTGTAATCGTTGTGCCGTTTGCCGGGCTATAACATGGGATTTTAAACTCTTTATTAATTTTGTCTAACAGAAATTCCATTTTGGCTTTCTCCCCATGCACCAAGACAACATTCTTGGGCTCACATTGTTTTATCAATTGCATTATACCTTGAGCATCTGCATGAGCACTGAACGACATATAACTGACTTGCATTTGCACATCGATTGTTGTCTGAGCATCAATTTTTATTCTCTTTTCATTGTTGATAACTTTTGCGCCAACAGTTCCAGCCACACAATATCCAGGCATTATTAACATGTTTTTTTCGTCAATTGCCCATTTTTTGAATACTTCTAACGAGGTGCCAATATGCAACATTCCTGGTGTGGCGAATAATACGCGGGGTCCAACCTCGTCAATTAGAGATCTTTCCCAAGGTTTTATATGCTTGAAATCAAACATGTTGCGATGAACAAACGTACTTTTAATTTTCTCATTGGTCCAATTAATGAATAGTTTATAGTATTCGTTGGCTTTTTCGGTCATGCCAGCCGAGAAATATATCGGGATATTTTTTAATTCGTCATGTCTTTCCCAGTAAGTCTCCAATAAAATACATAATTCTTGAGCGCGACCTAGTGCAAACACAGGAATCAAAACCTTTCCCTGCCTGGCCACGCATTCATGCACCTTGGATAGAAAATCTCGTTCACGTGATCTTTTTGAATCACGAATTGTTGTGGCATATGTTGACTCGGTGATTAGAATATCAGGTCGTACTTTATCAATCCATGCAGCTCCCAAATGTCTATCAGGTGTCATGTTATAGTCGCCGGTATAGACTACTGATTGTTGCCCCACTCGGACATAAAACATTGCTGCCCCTAATACGTGTCCTGCATAATACGCTTTAATCTCAAGATCTTCATCACCATTCACTTTGATCGTTTGATGAAGACTAACGGCCTTGACTTTTTTCATACAATCTTTAATCATCTGTGACGTAAAGAAGTTTGTGTCTCCTTTTTTCTCGACTGCAATTCTGCGATAATCCTCCAACAGAATTGGACAGATAGCTTTAGTTGGATGTGTCATGTAAATTGGTCCGTCATAACCACACATTTCGGTAAAGAATGGCAATGCGCCACAGTGGTCCAAGTGAAAATGTGAAATGATTATACAATCTAACATTTCAGTAAAATTTCCAGATTTTGAGATATAAGAGAAATCTGGAAATCTTCGTTCGTCGTTGTAACCCATGTGCATTCCACAGTCAAACATTATATTTTTTGTCCCTGTGATCTCGTCACCAATTGATACAATGATGCAGCTACGGCCGACATCTTGTCCTGCTCCAAGAGGTACAATTTTGATCATGATTTGCTTGTTATTTGTGAGAGAAGTTAGTATACACCTTGTCTATTTTCTATTTAGCAAGTATCACAACGACGTCACTGATCCTGCAAGATAACAAACATCGATCAAATTCAAAATGTCACAAACTATCTACAACAACAATAATTATGAGAGAAAATCCCATAAAAATATCTTTAGAACCACGCCTCAATACTGCCGCTCTCGATGTTAATGCAAATCAACCTCCAGAAGAAACTGAAACATATGATTTGTTTGTTCAAGTTTTTTTTTTAATTTGTAACTTAGCAAGAACACATGTTATCATTTCATTCATTCATAAAAGTTTATATTATCCATTAAAGTAAACGTACGCCAGAAGAGAAACTATCAGACCAGATATTAAGAATATGGCAAGAGCGCAAAATAAAAGAATTGACCATAGAGTCATTGAGTCATTCTAAACAAGAGGAAGAGAAAAAAGACCTTGAAATCGATTCGAAAGAGCCAAAAACAAAATCAGATAACAAAAAAAAGGAATCAAAGGTTGATTTGAATCAAATGAGATTGATAGCTCACAAATCGCTTGAGTAAATAATAATAATAATAATAATAATAATAACAACAATAATAATAACCCTTACCCATATATTTATAATTGATCTTTGTTTATTATTAATCTGCAATTGCTACTTATTATACAGAGAATCTCTCAATGAAATGGCAATTGCGATTGATGTTGTGAATGTTGTATCGCCCGCAAGGGGTAACGTTTCGGCTCCTTCAGCAATGCCTCCAGGCACAATAAGTCACACATATCATAATAAATCTGAACCTTCTAAACAAACACAAGTTCAAAATTATAAATTAATGTTGGGAGCAAAAAGAAAAGTGAGAACAAAGCCTTTACTTTGATATTCTTATCAAATATTCGGAATGTATCTTTTTTAACAGTTTACTGTTCTTTTCCAAAAAAAAAAAGCAATTAAACCATGCTGCATCGATATTATTGTCAAAAGCCGAAAAATATGAACAAATGATTTCAAAGGAACGCACTTTTTGGACTGAAGCGTTATCTTTACGCCAGAAAAATTGGAGCATTAAAGGATATGGTAAAAATGGAGGTCAATTATTTGTTGATTATGGTTATAAGGAAGGTAAGTAATGAATCAGGTTATGTATATTTAATATATCGAAGGGGAAAATAATCCAATTCTTCTAATATTAATAATTAGCTGGCTCCCTTTATCCGGAAATTACATGGGCACAAATTCAAAGAACTCCAAATGACAAACAAATCGCGATATCGTTTCCGCCTATACGCAAAAGAATAATGAAATTGCGATTAGAGCGTAGACTTCATGGATTTGGTGATCGAATGGATACATTTGAATTGAAGCCATGTAAGTTGTATTTATCTTAACTCAATTTCAAAAAAAAAATCTATATATTTCAAGCAAGTGATTAATATATATTCCTAGCACTTCGACCTGAAAAGATTAGTGGATCAAATATGCATCAGCAGCTTTTAGCTGCTCAGTCGGCAGTATTTGAGCTGGAACTGTTTGATAAAGTATATTAAAAAAACGGGAATTTCGTAGCTCTCAAATCAAATCATTACTTACTGGATGATCCAATCATAAATGACACATTTATTGTATGTTTAGATTTTGCTAGAGGCGAGCTCGTTACTTGGCGTTAAAATGATCGAGAACGAGATGCTAATTCCTGTTTATGATAATGTTGATTTGACAATTCAGTGGGTGAGTAGATAACTATATCATTATGGTCATTCTTTGATGGCAATGTTTTAATCTTCTCTAGATTTATATATAGACAGATGCTAATACTCAAGAGGAATCTTTTGTTGAGCTTGTTTCGCCTGAGTTTGATCAATCTGCCTATTTAAGAGAATCTTCAACATGTACAATATTAAAAATCGCAATGAATCTTTTACTGCGCAGACATCATAGACAAAATTTAGAAAATATGCAGAAAAAGGTATTGAACTCCGGGCAAGAACGGTAAATAAAAATTTAATAAGATTATTATTCAATCATATTTATTAAGTCAATGAATCGATAATTATAATGCATTTTAGGATATATGATGATGCTCAAGTTCTGACACTTCCTCTTCATCTGCTGAGATATCATTTCTTTTGTAATAAAATTCGGGAAATAGGAAATCGTACGATAAAAGCTCCAAGAGATGGTGGTGTACCAGTACAATTGCATTTTATTAATAGTCTGATTAATGGACAAGATGTTCTCGATATCATCACGAAAGCGAATACTATTGACGAGGAATCGATGTTGTTTGTAGGAATGATGACAATCACTGTTGATAGAAGGCAAGTTATCAATTTCAATATTTTTCTTTCTTTATTAATTTTGTTAATTAATATGATGTGTATATAGAGATAGTCTACGAGTTACTCTTGAATCACCGTGCACAGCTGTTATTCATTTAGCACATAGTGATCTTCGAACACAAGATTTACACCAGTTTGCCATGTTTATGGAACGTGAATTACGCTTACTACTTTTGAAAATAATCCATAAAGAAATCAAGGCATTATCAGGTATTAAGAACAGTGCATGGGAAGGCAATTGGACTGTGGATCGTGTAATGTTGGTGATTGTTCGTCCTATGCCACCTGTTTTGACTAATCAGCAGATAGCAAAACATCACGGAGTCAATTTGCGGCGAAGGAGAATGACGTAAATTTATTTAATTATTTGAATTTATTTGTTAATTTAAAATTCCGGCGAGCCCATCATCATCTTGGTCTATCATTAACATAATTTAGAGAAATAACCATTCGTAATGACTATCCGAAACCTGGTACGATGGCAATTTGTGTTTCTTCTCCTGGCAATGAAACAGAGTTAGGAGTAGAACCGATCTTTGAAGAGTTGGTTATAGGAGATGCGAGTATTTTAGGAATGAACGCGAACTCTAGGCGTGACTTTGCGGACCGTGTCCATGAATTTTTAATTGGAATGGTTTAATTTATTTATTTATTTGCCTCTTTGTCGGCCAGATCTTTTGGAGATACTGCTAAAATCAATTGGATTTCATAATAGAAAATTGTTCTTAACTCTTTATTTATTTATAAAGAGAACACTGACAGCATTTGATTGGAATTACTGCGTCCTTCTTTTTAATATGTGAGAATTACTCAGACGCTCAAATTCAACAGCAAATTAGATCCAGATTTGCTAGACGGTAAATACATGGTGTTTCTAGAATTTGATAAAGTTGTAGCAATATATTTTGATGCTTCTATTCGACGCAGCTGCACGAGGCCTTCTCCACCCTTTTCTAATGCTTCCACAATTTTCCCTGCAGCTTCTGCTTCACCTTCTGCTCGAATAACAGCAGCTTGTTTCTCTTGTTCAGCCTATATACCCAAACATCCATATAAAGTAGTAAATTGGAAATATGAAAAAATCATAAGAATATTTATAAATTGAATAGTTGACAATAATTACCCTTTCTACTATGAATTTTGCTCTTTCAGCTTCTTGCTGAGCAATTTGTTTCTGTTCCACTGCATTGGTGAATTCTTTACCAAATGTCATGTGAGTCTGATGGATAAAATAAGATGATGTTAATATAGTTAAATAATTATAACGAGATAAGTTTACATACGATTGACACATCTTCTAAATCGATATTAAATTCACTTGCTCTTTTTACAAGATCTTCTCTTATTTTTGAAGAAACCTAAATTTAAAAACATAAATATTTAGAAATTTGAAGAGAAGAAAAAAAATAAATCTACAGATTTACCACTTCACGTTGCGTGATCAGTTCGCTAGCATCAAACTGAGCCACCACCGACTTCAGCACTTCATTTCCAATTGATGGCAAGACTCTTTCATCATAATCTAAGCCCAATGATTGATATATTTGTGATAAATGTCGGATATCTGGTCGATGAAGTACACGCAGAGTAAGGCTGACCATTTGCATATCTTTTGATCCGGTAGTGGTCGAAATATTTCGTGGTTTGATGCGTACATCATAGAGAACAGCTTTTTGTAACCAAGGAACTAGAAAATGTGTTCCTTCGCCGACTGATTTCTCTTTTACTCCCTTGATTCGATCGAATATCACCGCGCGAAATCCTCCTTGAACTACAATGATCAGATCACGTGTTATTATTATAATTGTCATTTTACTTCGTGTTTCCTTTTCTCCTCAACCCCGATAATATTCACCATCATAAATGCTGTATTGAATAGCACTAGCCGCCGCGCCTATCGGTATAGCGAATTTTGCAATTTTTTCTAAAATATGGGCCATTATTAAAATTGAAAAATTAGGTGACTCATTATTATTGATGTGAAGATCGACGAAATTCAAACCAGAATCAGCGATTAGTTTTGGTCAGTGTCCAAAATCTGTCCAAAATCTGCCCAAAATCTATTCTCATCATGATAGTTTGGAACAGTTATATACTTCATGTCCAAAGTCAAAACTCATCATGACAGGGTTTTTGAAAGTTATATATTTCACGCGAGATAAAATAATGCAATTGATAAGTAATGAATCTGAAAAAGCGTTTTATCAAATCAAGTATTAATGCTTCTAATTGGTATATATTTACTTAATCAATTAATGAAATCAATTATAATTAATAAATTCTAGTCTTCTAATTTTTAATATTCACAGATACAAATTTAATAAATCATTAGCAAGCTCATTTATTTAGCTAATAATCTACTTCGTTTTTCATTTCCAGTTTGATGGATATTTGAACTATAATTATTTGTAATATTGCAATAACTAATTAAATAATTGTGATTAATTTGCAATTCATCTTTAGTTTATACAAATTTTATTGTGCAAAAATTCTAATTGTTATTAAATATATAAAAATATTAAAAATTTTATTATTAAAAGATAATTTTTTATTTTAATAATAATTTAAATTCAGTAATTTGATTAATTTATTAAATACAATACTCGTCATAAATAATGAAAATAATTATTATGGCCATAAGTCACACGAA